TAACATGTAGAATTATACTTAATTTTTAGTAATTCTTTTTTTTGGGGGGTTGGGGACAATGCATATCTGGAGGTGCTTAGAGGCTATTCCTAGATCTGTGGCCAGGGACTCTTGGAAGAGCTCAGGTAACCATATGCAGTGCTAGGATGTAACCCAGGTCAGCTCATTCAAGCCTCTGTATTATCTCTCCAGCTCCAATTTTCAGTGATTTTTCTTCTACTCTTATTTCTCTAAGAACTACATAAAGAAGTATTCCATATATTGGAAGTAGTATATTCATAGTCGTACACAGAGGGAAATGTACCAGAATGTTAGTAGTAGATATCTATGGGTAAATAACATAATTATAGATTATTTTATTTTAGATTATAAATAAAATACTAAATGAAGTTCATATAAAACACATCATACTATTCCTTAACAAAGGAGAATCAAAACCAAATTTGGCATTAATATTTACCATTGATTTGCTCGAGCGGGCCTAGTGACATCTCCATTGTGAGACTTGTTGTTACTGTGTTTGGCATATTGAATACTCTCAGTAGCTTGCCAGGCTCATAAAATCTTACAATATATTTGAGTGTTTGGGATGTTGAATTGTACTTACTTTTTAGTAACACTTTTTTGGAGGGGAGGGGTGATATATACCTGGTAGTGCTTAGGGGTTATTCCTGGATCTGTGCTCAGGGATCATTCCTGGGAGGACTCGGGAGACCTTTGGCAACAATGAATGCAATAAACATATGTCATGTAATGATCAATATAAGAAGCAAAGTTTACTTACTTTGCTAATCATATTGCAAATCTTACTGGCAGACTCCACAGTAGGTCAAATCTGACACATTTTGAAGATGTTTAAGGCTTAGGTCAGAGTTAACAAAATCTTAAAATATAAAACAGATTTAAAAACCAAAGAGAGGTCAGGGAGATATAGTGGATAGGGCGCTTGCCTTGTATGTGGTCAATCCAGATTTGATTCCTGGCACCCCATATGGTCCCCAAGCCCTGCTAGGAGTGATCTATGTGCACAGAGCCAGTAGTAAGCCCTGAGCACAACCAGGTGTGGCCCCCAAACCAAAATATATATACATAAAACCCAAAATGAAAGTCTCCTATTGCCTGTCATATCTTAGTTAATAAACATTAAGCATTAATTTCATATTTTTCTTTAAGAAACATATTGACCATCGGTATAGTTTCCGTATAAGCACACACCCTAACTTCCCCTTGAGATGACTTGCTTTGTGATACTGAGATTTTGATATTCATAGGGAAAAGAAAAGACTTGACACAATGCTTATAAGTCATTATTGATAGCAACTACCATGTTAATTTTGGGGAGTTCTTGAGGTTCAGTTTAGATCTTAAGAGAGGAAGGTGGAACACAGGAAATCAATACCACCAAAAAATCTTATTCAAGACCGGAAGAAGCTATAAAAAAAAAAACCCACGGAGGTCTTTATTCTGTCTTGTTGGAATATCTGTCAGTGTGGCAACCAAATCTAGCAAAGGGGTTAGAAGGAGGGAAAGGAAGAAACACAGCAGTGGGATGTTGTTCTGGGCAGAGAAAGCAGCACATAACTGCACATTGGCAACGGCAAGACAAGCTAACAAAGGGGACAGAAGATGTACTTGACAGGAGCATAGAAAGTTAGCAGATGAGTAGGAGGAGATGGCATATGAGCCGTAGGCAGGGATGCAGTAGGAAAAGTCCTTGGTTTGAATACTTTGAATTTAATGCAAAATGCAATGAAGAGCTCTGTGAAGCAAGTTCGGAAACCCGAGTCAACAATTACGGAACAGCTTTTCAAACTAATGGGTACATATTTAGACAGGAATATTCAAAATGCAGGCATACTAGTAATAGATAAGAATATTCACAACAATGCAGTCTAACTTTTCTTTTGTTCGAAATAAAAACGTAAACAGGAATTTCGAAGTGCCAGTTGTTCATTTGGGTTGTTTCTGGTTTTCACATTTTTGAATAGGAAGAAAACAGAAAGAGGCAAAGTAACTCAACTTACCGGAGCAATAGCACAGCGGTAGGGCGTTTGCCTTGCACGCAGCCAACATGGCCGAGCTGAGTTCGATTCCTCCGCCCCTCTCGGAGAGCCCGGCAAGCTACCGAGAGTATTCGATATGCCAGACACAGTAACAACAAAGTCTCCAATGGAGACGTTACTGGGCCCGCTCGAGCAAATCGACGAACAACGGGAGGGAACTCAAGTTTAGGCTTGAAGAAATAGCAGCATCCAAAGAGAAGAAAGGCGATAATTAAGGCAAATGCCTAACATTCCTATGCTCTTTGTTTTTTCTAGTTAAAAACGAAAAATAGGAGATATGAATTCCCTGGCAACTTGTTAGTAATGTGTTTAGTTAGAAGGATGCAGTAAAACTAAGGATCACTGTATCACTGTCATCCCGTTTGTTCCTCGATTGACTCGAGCAGGGGCCATGCCAGTAACGTCTCTATTCATCCCAGTCCTGAGATTTTTAGCAGCCTCTCCTTACTGGTCTTTCCCAACGATTGGAGGCTCTTTCAGGGTCAGGGAAATGAGACCTGTTATTGTTACTGGTTTTGGCACATCGAATACGTCACACGGGGAGCTTGCCAGGCTCTGCCCATGCGGGTGGGATACTCTCCGTAGCTTGCCAGGCTCTCCAAAAGGCATTTATAAAACTAAGGATAAGTTCAAAAAACAATAAAAATCATGATTTATAATATCCAAAAGGCTTCAAACCAAAGGGAGAATACAACGTGACAGGAATGAAACAGGTAATGTCTGAAAACAATTGTCCTAATTACAACAGTAAATCCCTAGGGATTTTTTATACAATTAACAGACGATCTATATTTTTCATAAGTTATATTGTAATTGAAGGAATTTTTTCTAACTTCTGACTAGCTCTTGATAATTCAAAAGTGGCTCAGTAGCAGACTGTCCAACTTGCATGTGGGAGAGTCCTGGTTTCAATCCTTGGCACCATAAAATATTTTTGAGTCCGATAATGAAGGTTTCTATGCGTGTTGCACCTCTTAACCTGCTCCTTGCCCAATATCATCTGAATACCTCATAAACATCATTTGACCTTAATACCGAATAAGTTCACCACTCTCACCACAAGATGGCGAGAAAACCCCAGCAGTATCTCTTATCAAGATTCCCAAGCCCTTGAACAACTAGAAAGTTTCCACCAGGTGTCAACCTAGAGAAGAAAGACAATTTTTTTTTTTCTTATTCTGGACCACTGAAGTAAGTTTTTGGACTAACCATTTAAACTCTATCAAAGATAAATAGCTTGTCGATTAATTGTCCAAATTGTTTACATATTTATACTCTCTATATAACTGTTAAGCGCCAAGATACAGCTAAGTCAACTAAGTAAAACTTAAGTTTTTTCCCCCACCCCCAAGCAAAACCAATGAGTTCATTGTGTTTCATACATAGGTTCGACCCATCTAAACCAACTATACAAAGTAATCTATTTTATACATGGACAGTCAACAATCTTCTAAACTATACTTGGGTAGTTGTATAGTTCTAGATTCTTATACTTTGTTTCCTTTCTGTATTTCTGTAAACTACTTTTAGGAGAATTATAAGTAGTTCAAATGATTTTTTTTTAATTTCTTTTAAAAACCCCTGCCTAAGTCTATGCTGTTTTGTGGATGGAATTCCAGCGCGATTTTACAAAAGCACTGCATCCTGCCATTTCAAGAGAGACCTCTCTAGAAGACACAGTAAGAGAAATGACTACGGTGAGCAGTATCAGGCTCAAGTGGAGAAACTGAAATTAATGCATAACAAAATTAAAGTCCTGCTAGACACAGAAGCATCCTTTCTTTATGCGATTCACCAATTTCTAAGAGGTTTCTGGATCCTGTTGTAAACACTTGACACCGAAAACACTAATGTCATACTGCCTTTTTCACAGGTGGCGCTTTTTTTTAGAACAAATTCTATTTTTATTCCTCTGCACACACGCTCTCAAAAACCTAGCTGTAGGTGGTGTTGTTCAAAAGGACTTTTTCTTCTTCCTTCGAGGAAGTGGTCAAGCCTCCCCCACCCCACTGCGGTGCGATCAGGCAGGCGCTTGACTGTTCTCCGTGGCTAATGAAGAAACGGGAGAAAGGGGTCGAGGACAAGGCCAAACCTAATGATTAGGTCTCAGCCTTCTCCTCTTTGCTCCTTCCCATCTTCGCTTTTGCGGCTCCGCGGGCCTAAGCCAACAGTGCCCCCTTCAACCTGCCTGCCAGGCACGGGCTGTAAAAGCCACAAAAAAGCACAAGCCCCCAGCCCAGAGTGCGCTGGCGTGTGAGCCTGGGTCCTCGGGTGCAGGTCATTCCGTTTCCCTGGGACATTCGTGAGCTAGGACGCCGGCCCAACCGGCCCCTCCCCTCCCCCCAGCTCCCGGCACACATCACTCCACCCTGCGGTGCCCGGCACGCACGCAGCGGCCGGCCCTCGCCACCCACCGGCCTCCCCGGGCTCGGCCCACGGCTCCCGGGCCCGAGCCCGCACCCCCGCGCCCGCCCCGCCGTTGTCTATTAGGAGGTGTTCGGTAGGGGCCTCCGGAGGGCACGTCGAGGGTTTACGGTAGGCGGCCTACCAATCGGAGCCCGCAATGCAGAGGAGTCAGGTTCGGCCTCCCGGCAGCCCCGGAGCCTCCTTCCCGACGCTCCACACCTACCGTCCCCGCGAGCGGACGGGCGGCCGGGCGCCGCGGCGTGCGCATGCGCGCTGGGGTTGTTTTTCACAAAGCGGCTCTTAAAGTGAGCTGGCAGGCTCCAGCCGCCCGTCTTTGTACGAGACCACTGGAACGAGCCGGAGCGCGGAGCAGCTGCGGCGGCTGCCCTGACTTTTTAAGAAATCTCAATGAACTATTTGTAGAGAATCACTGATCCCGCCTGCACGCTTCTTTTTTTTTTTTTGCACGGCCACGACATCGATCGGTGTTAGCTGGAGATCACATTTTCCTATGCGATCTTGACTTTTTTTTTTGTGTGTGTGTGTGTCTTACATTATATTTTTATAGATTTTGTTATAAACATGGTGCTGGGAAAGGTGAAGAGTTTGACAATAAGCTTTGACTGTCTTCATGACAGCAATGTCCCCGTGTATTCCAGTGGGGATACAGTCTCAGGAAGGGTGAATTTAGAAGTTACTGGGGAAATCAGAGTGAAATCTCTTAAAATTCATGCAAGAGGACATGCGAAAGTACGCTGGACCGAATCTAGAAACGCCGGCTCCAATACTGCCTATACACAGAATTACACTGAAGAAGTAGAATATTTCAACCATAAAGACATCTTAATTGGACATGAAAGAGGTAAGTTTTGTATTATTCAGAAAATACTTATCCTATTTTGGGCAAGCACTCCTTTTTTTTTTCTGAATTAATGTAATTCTCTTCCTAACATAATACAGTTTGAAAGATTAGCAAAGTTGAAAGATTGGGCTTCTCCTTGACATTCATCGTGGACTAAATCGTAATGCATGCAGGCATCTGCAAAGTGACTGCAAACTGCACTTATTCAACCTCTACTGTACCCAGCCTGGTCTGTGCCATACGCGCTTGCAGTCCATTTGCACCTTACAAATTCTGCTTCGTTTGATTCAGTTAATTTATTAGGATTTTTCTGATCGGTTGCTAAACGCGGGGGTCCTTTATGAGATGTTTTACCCCCGTGTGCCTGGCAGCCTCAAATCTTAAAAGTAAGCTTTGAAGGAATGGAATAGCGTTTTTAAGTGGGTTAGAAAGTGTTATTTCATTTTTAATTTTGACCCATAAAAGACTTTAAAGAATTGATCATTGTTCTTTGATAGAGGCTTTCTCTGGCTTATTTTGACATATGGTATCAACACCCCACGTGTTTTTTTCCCCTATTTTTTTTTCCACCTTCGTTCCTTTAGAAATTTGCATCGAGCATTCTCTATTTAAAAGGACAGTATCTTCCATTATGCTACGTTTCAGGTCTCTTTTAGAAGCTACGCAGGGTCAGTAATTTTCTTTTCCGAGCATCCTGCCTAACTTTGGGACGTGCATTCAATGAAACCCGAGCCAGTCAAATGGAATTGAAAAGTATTTGGCACACTGGATTCGATGATTTGTTCAGAAAGGGAAGATACAGGCTTGTCAAAGGGAGAAGGGGCCCTGAGATTCCCAATCTATTGTTTAAATGGTTACATTGTGGAAATATAGGAGACTCTAAGCTTGTTTTTCTAAGTTTCCACCCTTTGTTAGAAGCGGTTCAATCCTGTTTCGGACCAGTTCTGGGGGGTGGTGAGGAGGGGCGCTCGCTGTGCTCTCCGCAGATTGGTTACACGCGTCAGGTGGTGGCGATGACTTAATTCCTAGCCCAAGAAGAATATAATGTTAAAACTGGTTATGTAATTTTTGTGTTTCTTTTTTAATGCAGTCTTTAGTTGAGGTGATGACGATTTTTAAAAAGAGTAGAGCACGCGCTGATCTTTTTTTCCTATCAAAATTATACATCCCCGGGGAACTGCCAACTAAGGCAAGTGTAGCAATGAAAGATGCTTGGAGTTACATCATTCATACATTATGTTTGGACTACTAAGGTTAAATCAGTGCTTGAGTTGGGTTTCATTACTTACATATCGCAATTTGCATTCCTCAATGAGTTCTAAAATAATCTCTCCCGGCAGTACTGATTTTAAAAAAAAAAAAATTTTTTTTTAAAGATGCAGACGCCTAGTGTGACAGCCTGGGTATTTGCTGAAAAGCAGGCACGCGACTTTAAACCTTGCTGACCGCTGCAGATTTTTAGAAAGCGGGTGATGGGGGGGAAACAAAGGTTTTTTTTTTTTTTTTTTTTTTTTAAAAGCGAGTCGCAGCTTGCGGTTGGGTTGAGAGCGGGGACGGATAGTGGGCACACTTGGCGAATTCGTTCCGGGAGCTCGGCGCCCCGCACGAGATGCCACTTCACCCCTGCAAAAGCGCGGACCTACGCCTGGAAGAGTTTCAATGACTTAAAAACTGGGACCTCTCAAACTAGCCTGGTGGCCGAGGCCCCGCCCCGGGCGGCCGGCGATAGGCGGAGCCGGGTTTGTTAGCCTGTTGCTAAGGCGATGCCGGGCCCTGATTGGGTGGGGCGCGGGCGGGTGGGCGGGGCGGGCGCCGGCCGGGCGCGGCTTGGAACCGGCGTGCGCCGGTAAAGGTCCCTCTAGCGCGGCGCCCCCTCCCCCCGGGCGTCGGGGGGAAGGGAGGTGGGGGGCCTGCGTGTGCCTGGGGTGCCGCGTTCCTCAGCCACCCCGCCGCCCCGGCTTTGCCTCTGCGATTGCACCCGGGAGCGGCGGCCACTTGGGGCTTGGGGCGGCGCGTCGGGGCGAGGCTCCAGCCGCCTTTACAGGTGCCCGCGGTGCTGGGCGCCACTGGAGCTCCCGCTGCGAAGCAAACTTGGCCAGCGCCCCTGCTAGGCGTCGGGGGGCGTCGAAGCTTTCCGGGTCTCCCCCCCCCATCCCCACCCCCAGCCCGCGGGGAAGGTGTCGGGGTGGCCCGAGCCAGCTGGAACCGGTCGCCGGCTGGGCTGGGGCGTGCAGAGCGGAAGCGCGGCGGCGCAGGCCCCGCCCCTCCCCTCCCCAGCAGGCTAGGCTGCGCGGGCGCGAGCGCGAGCGCCGCGCCGCCTCTGCTGGATGTATAGCGGGGCGCGCGGGCGGCGGCGGCGGCGGCGGCGGCGCGCGTCCGGGCCGGCTGGGATCTGCTCGCGCCGGTTTAGGCCGGTCCGCTCCTGCTCCGGTCTGGTTCTTGATTGACAGCCCGGCACTTGTTTACCACGGCGCGGACGCCGCCGCCGCTGGCCGCTGGGAGCCTGCTGAGCTGGCACCAGATCGGGAGCGGGGCTAGGCAAACTTTGGGCGCCTCCGGCCGCCTCGGGGTGCTGGGACCCGCCTCGGAGATGCACATGCACCGGCCGGGGGGCGAGAGGAAGAGGGCTGAGGTCGAAGGGAGCTCCCACGGGTGCGGGTGGGGGGGTACATCGAGGAAACGCACAAAGGCGCCCCTGCCTCGCCTCCTCTTCTGCATCCATCGCGGGGTGGGGTGCACGGTCAGGACCGAGGTGGGTGGGAAGCTGAGTGGTCAGACCAGTTCCTCCCCTGCTTCGTGGAAAGGGGGAAAAAAGGTGGCTCCGCCGAGGACACGACTGAAGTAAGACAATTATATAATTAGAGGAACTAGTCAGGGTGCTAACACGTTCCGAGTGCCCCTCTGGAGACCTTTCCGGCTTCCTTCCCGAGTTCCTTATGGAAACAGTTAAAAAAAGCTGTTTTGTCACCCAAAGAAATAAGCTCCTGACCATGCCTTTTTGATTCTGCCCTTTGGCAGCAGCCGAATGGGGACGTCATTTTTGTTTTCAAAACTGCAGGGTTGGACAAATGCATCTACCTTAGATCTGTGAATCCCCTTCCAGACCTAAGCTATGTAACATATGAATGTTACATATGTAACATATGAGTGTTACATATGTAGCATATGAATGTTACATATGTAGCATATGAATGTTACATACGTGCACACGCTTTAACTCTGGCTAAAATGCACTCTGAGGATTGTCACAGGTTTGATAACAGGATTTATTTTCAGCAGTGAAAGTCGTATTAAAATTCCTCGGTTTTTTTAACTCGGTCAATTTGCATATTTTTTTCCTAAGGGTTTTATAACCACGACGTGCAACGCCCGCCGTCAGAACTGACTGTTGAAAGGTTTATGTGATTGTCTTCATAGAAACTTAAGCAGAAGCAAAATAAAAATCTTAGGATGGGACTTAATCTCTTAAAATCGCAAACCTTTTGTTGAAGTATATATGGCACCTAGGATTGGTTTTATTCCATCACAGTTTTCGATTTTCAAGTGTCCACGGGGTAATAATACGTGTTAAATTATCCCCATTTTAAAGATCAGACAACTGAGGGCAGAAATTTATGCAGTGTTAAGTGATGAAGTAGAAATTGCAGCCGTATTGTGGATATCTTTAAAGTTGTGCAGCCATGATGAGTGTGCAAAAGGTTTCATTGCGTTTTTCTATCTTTTAGATGACGATAATTCCGAAGAAGGCTTCAACACTGTCCATTCAGGAAGGCATGAATATGCATTCAGTTTTGAGCTTCCACAGACGTAAGTTTGATGAGTAATAGACATTTCATAAACATACATGCTTTCTAAACTTAAATAGCCTCAGTTTAAATAGTTTTCTTTGTTTAAAAAAAAAAACCCTTTTCATTAATGAAACTTGCTGGCAGAAAGCAATATACTTAAAAAGGAAGCTATTTTTTTAATCTGGTGTGGCAAAATCTTAAAAATAAAAATTCTCAGTGCCTGTGAAGATTTATTGTAAGGTATTTAAAACCTGAATGGCTTAACCTGAACTGGAAAATGCTAATCAGATCAAAGTAAGAAAACACTTGTTTCCATCATTTTAGCATCACTAGAAAAGGTAGATCCTATCAAATAATCTCATTTGGTGGATGACAAGAATTTAGTGTTCTATCTTTTCTAATAATTCTGACCACAGCAGTAAGAGAAGGTAAAAATATCTAAGAGTAGTCTCTGGTATGTGAATTAAGTACTTTCAGTACATAGATTGCTGGCACACATACCTGAATTTTAGAAGGGAAGAAAGAAACATCAGATTTTGTAACGTGTTAGAGGTATGGGCTTGGATTGTAGTTTCAGAGAAAGAAGGCTGTAAGAGATTGTTAGGAAAAGTGAACCCCCTACAAGTTTGTTTTAGTATATCTTCTAACAGATACTAAAACATAAAAAGTAGTACTTTCCGTAATTCATTGTTCTAGATAATGAGCTTAGATTACATAAGAATCAAGTGCTAGAATATACAAAATTCCTTATTCTAGTACTGATGTGCATAGATTTCATTAAATATTTTTTTTCAGAATATTCTATGTGTCATATTATTTGAATATAATTTTGAACATGATGCTTTACTTTCTGAAAGAAAGCATTTAACTAAATATTAGGATGATACTGGTTCAGTTTGCATTGCTTATTCCCAATAGGATTTTTGAAAGGGAACTAAACTCACTCAAATAAAGTTTCCCACAAGTACTAGACTCTAAGTGAGTGAAAAATGCTTCTGAGTCTCATGGTAGAGTTCAGTGCAAAGTATGTTTGTTTTCTTAAGTATATTGAGAAAAGCCCAAAAGCATGGTCACAAAAGAGAGGAAACTAGGGCCAGAGCGATAGTTTGGCAGGCAATGCATTTGTCTTGAATGATGCAGTCCAGGGTTCAATCCCCCGCATACCATATTGTCAGCTGAGCCCTCCATGAGGGATCCCTGAGTACCACCAGGTGTAGCCCAGAAACAGAGAAAACAAGAAAGTGTAAGTGGAGTTGTTTAGAGTTTGGGTGGACTTAGTGAAATGTGAATTTTTTTAAATCAAATGGTTTTAGACCCTAATTAGTTGCTATAAAAAGAGATGATGCCTAGCTAATGAAAAGTGAAGCACTGTAGCGCATTTGGTCTGAATGTTAAACTAGTGTTTAAATAGAAATAGTTGAGCCATGAGTTCTTCACATTTAGAAGAATTTTTCATTTACAGACTTTCATAATTTTGCCACCAGCATTAAATGGTAGCCTCTTAATTTAAAGGAATTACATTCTTCTGGCTTTTTAAAACACAAATTTTTAAAAATACGTAACTACTATATTTGGAAATGAAAGGTTTTTCCCCCAATGACTTATCCCTTTGGAAATTTTTTAAGAGACATTTGATACCTCATTAAATTTTTTTCAAACAGAACAGTACATTAATACTATTCTGCTGTCCTAATGTATAATTTAATTACTGGAAAGAGGTATAAGATTAATATATTGACCTTTATATTCTGCACAGACCACTTGCTACCTCATTCGAAGGCCGACATGGCAGTGTGCGCTATTGGGTGAAAGCCGAATTGCACAGGCCTTGGCTTCTACCAGTAAAATTAAAGAAGGAATTTACAGTCTTTGAGCATATAGATATCAACACTCCTTCATTACTGGTAAGAACTGATTGAATTCTTTATATTCCTTGTTTTTGGCATATAAATACTAAAGAATAATCACCTAAACTATCCAATCTTTATCATTTTAAAGTAAAATTTCTTTTAAATTCAATAATTTTAATATGTATGCCAAGCATATACAAATTAATGAAGAATATGCTCATTATCTAATATCACAATAAATTTAAGTAATTTTTAGTCAACCAGTATATGATACGAGAGCTCTGTGAGAAGATAACTGCAAAATTGGATCTCTGTTCCCTGGATAATTTTAATGAAAGAACAGTAATACCAATTATTATTAGAGCAATATATACTTGAAAATCTAAAATTAGTCCTGTATTATTCCAAAACAGGGATAGTTGTCAAACGATGGGGAGATTATCACATTAATGAAAAAACTGTTTCATTATAAAGAAAGATTTTTAGTTGCTTTTTTTTAACAAGATTCGAATTTGACAAACTTCATTTTGGTTTCAGTAAATGATATGTCCTTAAGCAAAGGATTAGCCTTTAAAATAAGTTTCCCTTTTTACATATTCTCAAAAACATTTATATTTGGAATTATAACTCAGTCACTTTCTAAGCTGCCTTTTTGAAAGGCAGTTTTAATAGAATGTGGAAAGGGTTTTTTTTGTTTGTTTGTTTTGGTCTATTGGTATTTAATTATTCTGTATCTAAATTGTGTGAGCTGAAACTAAGTTTGTGGAATATTATGTCAAGCTTCGTATCTTCCTTTAATTGAATGAAAATTTATATGGAGATTAAAGTGGTATGATGGCGTAGCCATAAGGTAGTAAAAGAAAATAATCATCTTATAGTATAAAGGGAAAAAATGATGTTTTTAATTTTAATTATAAAAACTTAGGATTGCATTTTTAAACATTGTTATACCAAATTCTATATTGATCTTTCTCTGTATATTTTTTGCAGTCACCTCAAGCAGGCACGAAAGAAAAGACTCTCTGTTGCTGGTTCTGTACCTCAGGCCCAATATCCTTAAGTGCCAAAATCGAAAGGAAGGGCTACACCCCAGGTATGTTGGAGGTATATTCCTATAAAAGCTGTCTTTTTCTCTTGTAGAGATAGTTATGCTTTCTGCTCAGTGAAAACAATTCATATTCACGAAGAACAAAATTGTCCTTTAAATAGTTCGTTAATTTTTCTCCCTGTAGGTGAATCAATTCAGATATTTGCTGAGATTGAGAATTGCTCTTCCCGAATGGTGGTGCCAAAGGCAGCCATTTACCAAACACAGGCCTTCTATGCCAAAGGGAAAATGAAGGAAGTCAAACAGCTTGTGGCTAATTTGCGTGGGGAATCCTTATCATCTGGAAAGACAGAGACATGGAATGGCAAGTTGCTGAAAATCCCACCCGTTTCTCCCTCTATCCTCGACTGTAGTATAATACGTGTGGAATATTCACTAATGGTATGTATAGATTTAAGGGTTTTGCCTTTTTAGTCTTAAGTTATAAATATGTCATTTTATACTTCATGTGCACACACACAGATGTTTATATGTATATATGCACACACATGTATAAGCCTTTATGGTCTATAATTCCTAGGTTTTACAAATGTACTGTTTAGCATACATATAAAGGAAAAACATATATTTTTTATGTGTATGTATGTATGTAAAATGGAGCTTGTCATGCTAAACACAGTATCTCCTTTCAATGTTTAGGTATATGTGGATATTCCTGGAGCTATGGATTTGTTTCTTAATTTGCCACTTGTCATTGGTACCATTCCTCTGCATCCATTTGGAAGCCGAACCTCAAGTGTAAGCAGTCAGTGTAGCATGAATATGAACTGGCTTGGTTTATCCCTGCCTGAAAGACCTGAAGGTAATTTGATAATACATAGCTTAATACCTTTAGCAATTTTATTTGCTTCTGATAACGTATTGAAGATTTGTGTATACCTGACGAGAGTAGATGTTCCCTAGTGTTAGATTAAAATTGTAAATCTCCCTAGTTTTTGTTCACAAAACAGTTATTTTAATTTACTTTGGCATTCCTTTTTAATACCGACTATTCTGTGTATCTTGACATGCATAAGAACATGCTGTTCGAATTGCGTGTATCTTTTTCCTTCAGCACCACCCAGCTATGCAGAAGTGGTGACAGAAGAACAAAGGCGGAACAATCTTGCACCAGTGAGTGCCTGTGATGACTTTGAGAGAGCGCTTCAAGGACCACTGTTCGCATATATCCAGGAGTTTCGGTTCTTGCCTCCACCACTTTATTCAGAGGTAAGCATCAACTTACCAGATAGAAAATGAGCTGACTCTGTTTAGAACACTATCAGGCTTCTAAAAATACAATTAGGATTTAATTATCATGATAATAGGAAAAATTAGAACAAATGAAAAGATTGGTGTAGGATAGTGTAGGGCCGATCGCTTATAAGTTATGGCAATAATGAGCTATACTTGTGTTTACAAGGTTCCTGTTGAAGGATTAAGAGGCATTCTAATTCATAAGAACTGGATTTTGTAAGCATTGACTAAATAGCAACAGATTATCTTGTTATACCTGGGAGAATTTAATTCTTGTATTGTGAACATTTTTAGTTGCGAGGGAAATAACGTGAAGAGTATCCTAATTCCTTCACGATAGATTTCCGTTTTTCTTTATCTCATATTGATGGCAACTAAGCACTTAGGAAATTGTTTTGTGTTTAAATTTGTGAAGGTGTCACATATTTTAAAAGTATAAAATAAAAGTATAAATCGAACCAGTAAAAAAAATAATAATAATAATGGTCCTTACTTGGAGAAACAGACTGGTGAGGAAAACAAACTGAGAAGCAAAATATTGCATAACAATATGATAGGAGGACAGTACATTTGAGGAGCATTTTATTGGCCATTTGGTCCCGAGCACCACCAGGAGTGATTCCTGAGTGCAGAGCCTTTGGGAATCAGGAGGTGCTTCCTGAGCCGGTGATCATAAGCTGAACATTGAAGATTGAGGAATTAGAGGGATATCCATTCTTAAGAATAGATATTTATGTAATATGTTTTTTGAGGGACTTTATTGATCTTGATTCTAATATCATTGATTTTCAAAACTACTAGTATTTGCCTTTTTTGTTACTGTAGTTTAAGTAGCCGTTTCACAATGAAATGTTACTCCCAAGTAAGAGTACAGCATGTAGGGCACTGACCTTGCATGGGGGCGACTAATCTGGGTCCAACCCAGGTTCAGCGCCAGGCACCCCATAGAGTCCTCTGAGTACAAGTGGGTGTGCCCCAAATGAGGGGATATTGTTTCATTCATCCACAAGTTTCTTTAAAAAAAAAAAAGAAAGTTCATTAATACCTTGAGTGAAAGACTCAGGTTCTCCTTGGGTGTGCTTAATACTGAGATCCACTTTATTCATTGATTACAGGATAATCAGAATCTCCTAGGAATTCCAAGACATACATTTAATTCCCCCTATTATGAAAAAGCTATTTGATTCTAAAAGTATTCTTTCACATATAGTGAAATACATCTGCCTTTTCTCTCTTAACATCATTTCTGATATTCTTTGAGACTTCTGGCTCTGGGAGAAGGGGAATTTGGGGCCAGACTCAGCGGTGCTCAGGAGTTACTCCTTACTCTGCACTCAGAATCACTCCTGGTATTGCTCGGGACCATATGGGATGCCAGGGGTCAAGCCCAGATTGGCCATGTACAAGACACTTCCCTTATCCTCTGTACTATCTCTCTGGCCTCTTTTAAAATTATTTTAAATCGAAGTATAAGTATATATACTCTTAAGTAGTTCATCAAAATTCTATCTCCTTCCAAAGTAAACTAAATTAAGAAAACACTGTAAATGTTTTCAAAGTTCAGGGTGTGATTCAATTAGCATCAAGCCACATGAGGGTCAAGTGGAAAATAGGTTATATGTTACAGCTGTTTTTAAAGAATTTGAAGCTTTAAATTTTTTCCCTTCAAAGTTGTGTCTTAGGTTAAAGCTTCTAATGCACTTTGAAATTTCCCACATTAGAAAACAAGTACATAGGGGCTGGAGTGATAGCACAGCAGGTAGTGTGTTTGCCTAGCACGAGCCAACCCGGGTTCAATTCCCAGCATTCCATATGGTCCCCTGAGCACCGCCAGGAGTAATTCCTGAGTACAGAACCAAGAGTAACCCCTGTGCATCGCTGAGTGTGACCCAAAGAGCAAAAAGAAAAAAGAAAAAACCAAATACTTGGATCTTGTCCAAAAGTTTTTTTTTTCCTGTGGGTTGTTTTTTTTTTGTTTTGTTTTGTTTTTAGTGAAAGAAAAATTTTGCTCCCAACAATTTGTTGGCACTGAAAAACAACTGAAATGTATTCATTTTTAAGTTACATGTACATATGAAATCGCTCCAAAGATAGGAACTTGGGATTTTGGGGCACTTGGAGTTCACCATTGTTATTTTTTGATAAATGCTGTATGCCAGGATCCTCTCAAGGTTTTTATTTACATCCATGAGTTTCCTCATAATAAATACTGTGAACATTGTTTACACAACTGCATTCTTCCCAAAACTTAGAGTTGACTTTTTTTTTTTTGCATAAGGATGAGAGAAATATATTCAGCAAAATGACATCATTGTTAATAAAATGTTCTCCATCACATTTTGTAGTACAGCTTATTGTGTATATTAAGCTGAGAAAAACTGCACTCTGACCAAATTACCTCTTAGCTTTGCTGAACGACTACTGGGCATAGCCTTACAAGGTATTTTTAATCCAGTAATAGAATCAGGCATTTTTTATGGATAACAGATTCTTGAATCTTTTGTTCCATTCCTACTAAACCTTATCAGAAAGTTTGTAATTGTTTCGCTTTTCTTTCTAGATTGATCCAAATCCTGATCAAGCAGCAGATGATAGACCATCCTGCCCCTCTCGTTGAAGGTGTACTTGGTTGATTCAAGTTGATATGGGTTCCTAACTATCTCATCCCGGCTGAGGACAGAGATGTATCTTGGAGACACGTTTTCAGAGGAAGTGGAATCGCTTTTGCCCAGAAAAAGGGGCGAATACATGAAACAACCAGTGATCAAGCTTTAGAAGCCTACAGCAACATTCTGGGACTGCTCCAACATGCTTGAAGATCTAAGCTTTTCTCTTTTAAAACTGGCACATACTAAGAGCAGTTTTCTTAGCCTATGGTCATACGTGTCAAGACACCACGTTGTAAAGAGGGATGATTTCCTTCTTTTGATTTGAAAATTTGCACATGCTCAATGCTTAACATTGTGCGGTTCGATGTCACTACAGCTTTTTTTTCCATTTATGCCAGACTCTTGATACTCTTTTAAAACTTGTCTGTGGTCAGCACAACAAGAACAAAAGAAAGCTTTGAAAAAACTTTTAACATGGAAAAGGCGCACTGACTTTTTTTTTTTTTAAATTTAACATAGCCTGGACGTTACCTGCGTATGCACATGCTCAGAATTGTCCTACTAGGCTGACCATGTATCACCTCTTCAGCTTGGATCCTATTGTGGATTTATTTACAAACATCAAATGCCTTCAAGCCAATCCTTCTTGCTGTATGTTTTGTAGCCTACTGTAGTAGATATGCAACAGATATGTGGGAAGAGAGATAAGAGGAGGAAGCTAATAAGATGACTGTCAAGATTGTATACCTTCTTGGTTTCTTTTGAGAATTTGTTGCCTTTCTACTCTTACAGCAAAGCAGCATTTTGTTACTGACTGCCTAAAATCACTTAATCTCAGGTGAACGCATCACTTGCCAAACTGTTGGAATGCTATTTGTGTTTTGTTGCACTGTTATTTTTTGTTTGGTTGGTTGGCTGGCTTTTCGGAGAGGGAAATTTGGAAAAGGGACATACACAAAAGTGATAACCCACCCGCATTCCCTTTTTATCATTACATATAAGAAGAAACTAGCAGAGCTAAGAATTGAGTCAAGAAAGGCAGGATGGCAGGCACCAGCAAGGAGTTGGGCTGTTGCTCGTAAAAACTATTATTTTTACGATGATTTTATAAGTGTGGAAGTTTTCCAGTCACTGGAAAGGAGGCAAAAGTGCATTTATTTTTATACAGAGTTACTTAATTACCTCCGAAACACATATGTTGGAAATCATTTTTGCTAGTGCAAAGTATTTTAATGAACAGCAACATATAGGTAGGTTCAGATTATGATTAGAGAAGTCAGTATATACTTTGGCTGTCCTATTCAAGCTCCTGCAGTATGAAAACGCAAGTTTGTTCTAAGTGTTTTACTTCACAGTTACAAATAACTAGACTGTGTGCTGGAATAATAACTTTTATATTTTTGTGGGACTTTTTAACAAAAGTATTTTTTCCATTATCACTAGACATGAGAAATCACTCATGTTAAGTATATGTAGATAAGAAGAAATATCAGTAAATTTTAATTTCTAGCAAGAAGATAATTTACTGTTGGCTCATGACAAGTATACCAGCATTCATAATAAAACTTAAACACTGCATTTTCCAAGGTACCATTCTGTACTGATAAACATTTTAGAAGGATCTCAGCTCTGATGTTTTTAATGAAAATCAGCATCTCTGATGTTGCAACATATGTGTGATTTGGGTGTTAACATTTATCCTGCCATTTAACCCCACAATAATAACGTGGCTGAAAATAATAGTAACTCTGGCTTGGTGCTTGACCTGGTTAAATACTGTCTTAAAGCTTCATACAAAACAAATAGGCTTTTCCATAAGTGGCCTTTAAGAAAACATGGAAGACAATTCATGTTTGAAAAATGCTGACAGGGTGAGGAAAGCCCAGTGTAAAAATGAATCACGTTTTAAGTGATTCAGTTAAAGGGTTTGGGCTCCCGTAGCAAACTAATACTAGATAATAAGGAAATGGGGGTGAAATATTTTTTTATTATTGAATCATTTTGTGAATGTCCCCCTCAAAAGAAGCTAATGGAATATTTGGCATAAAGGGCATTTGGTGGTTTTATTTTTGTTGGGGGGGAGGGATTGTCAGAAAATCCCTTTTCTTTTTTTCTCTTCTGTCTGACTAGGGAACAATTGTTATGCATAGCATTGGAATACTTACCACATATACTCTTGTAAATGACACATGAAGCAAGAATGACCAATATTCTCATAATTGGCACGTGGTCACATTATAAAGTGATAAACATTTTAATATATAAAACTTTATCAAATAAAGTTTTTTTTCCAGTTAAGTATTTCTTTACTACTACGAGGCATTACTTTATTTTTTCTAAATATTGGTCAATTCCTGATATAACATGTGAGAGTCACAATTGTATTCCAGTATTCGAGATAGATTCCTGATTTTTCAATTAGGAAAAGGTAAAATCCAAAATGTTAGCAAAACAAAGTGCAATATTAAATGTTTGCTTTATGGATTATATTCTATGGCTGTTTGTAATTTTTTTCCTTTTTTTATTTGGTGCTGAATATGTCCTTGTAGGCTCTGTTTTAAGAAAACATGTGGGAAATGATTTAATTTTTCCTATTGCTCTTCCTTGTGGAAAATAAAAGTGTTTTTGTTTTTCCTTTTTGTAAAATTGTTTGAAGATTTATTTGAATCTTAATTGAGTAACTCACCATACATTCAGGCACTGTTTACACTTGAAGTCTATTCTAAACCTTTCTAGATAAAAAATCAATTATAGACCACCATAAAAAAAAAAAGTACTACCAAAGGATTAAAGAAATTTTAAAATACTAATGATAGTTTCAATTCTAAATTACAGATATTTTTGGTAAAATCTATTGGATACATAAATTTGTCTTATTTATGAACTGAGCTTGGCTAACATGAAGCTTTATTTTCAGGTACTTTTTCTCTTGTGAAATGTCAGTTTCTGGTTTTGCAAGAATACATAAATTTAGGTGGCTGGTTGTGCAAAGAATAATGCATATAAATGAGGCCTTGCATGCAGTGGACCTTCTCTTTGATCCCTGGAACACATATGGTTCCCTAAGCATCAACAGGAATGGCCTCTGAGCACAGAGCCAGGAGCAAACCTTGAGCACAGTGGAGTATGGCCCAAAACCAAAAGTGATTTAGGAACTGGAGAGAATATTGGGTACCTTTGTATCCTGTATGGTCCCCCAAGCACTGCCAGGAGAAGTACAGAGCCAGGAGTGACTCCTGACCATCACAAAAATGACCCCCCCCCCCAAAAAAAAAAGTCACACTTTATTGAATGGCTACTAAGTGCATTTTATGGACACTACTATTGTAACTGAGACTCCGACTATTTGGCAAGTAAACACTTAATTAGTAATTACTAGAATGAACTATACTAAGCAGAATTGAATATAGGCAACCAAATAATACACATTTTTGTCCATCTTACCCCTATCATTCTTTAATATTAGTTTCTTTTTCATTTTTGATGAACCAGGATAGATGACCCCAGCTTTCATAGCTCACAGAAAATGTCTTTTTAAGGTTCCCAAATTCTTGTCAGGGGAGATTGTGACTGGCCATTGTTTCATGTTTCCCAAATGGGTTTCCCAAAGGAAAGTATTTGGTTTCCTAAAGGGAAGATAGTATATTCTTTGAATGTCCAATGCTGTCCAAATGATCAGCAATGGTATCTTGCAGCTTATTAGAAAAGCAAAAAAAAAAAATATCCAAGAATATTGACCCAAAATCGGTTTATTTGATTGCCAGGTCATTTCTAAGCGAAGTGTGAGAAGCTCTTGAACATACCAACAAAAGATTACTGAGTAGGTCACTTTGTTTTCTTGAACCCAAAGCTGTAACTTGGCTAAAGATTTGGGGCACTTCATAAATGTAGTTATGCCATTTTTAATCTACAGCTCTTTTTTTTTTCTCTTTCGTGAAACACCATGAGGTACAGTTGTAGTCTTACAAACTTTTGTGCTTGGGTTTCAGTTATACAATGACTGAGTACCCATCCCTCCACCAGAGCCCATTCTCCACCACCAATGATCCCAGCAGCCCTCCCACCTCCCCACCCCGGCCTGCCTCTGTAACAGGGCATTCTCTTTTGCTCTCTCTTTCCTTTAGGATGTTGTGGTTTGCAATAGAGGTATTGGGTAGCCATTGTTCTATTGTCTACTTTCAGCATGCATCTCCCATCCCAAGCAAATCCTCCAAACATCCTTTACTTGGTGTTCCGTTCTCTATCTGACCTCTGATACTTTTGAAATAGAACTTTGTATCCACTGGGATGATGACAGTTATACCTTTGGAATTCCCATATCAACAATATTTCTCAAACATAATAAATTTATTTTTCTTGTTTTCAAAAGCAATAGAGGGAGATGTATTTTTCTCTTCACCAGAAAAAAAGTACCGATATAAGTGTTTTGGTTTTTGAGGAACGTAGTCAGCAATGTTTTAAGAAAAAATAATTTTAATTAGGTAAATTACTCAGATATGGCAAACATGAATATGAAAAAAGTCACTTTAAATCACAAAACTAGTAGTTTAAAAGTCAAAAATCACGTACCTAACTGGAAACAGAGCCGTCAACACTGTCTTTGACTACTGAGCACCATAAGGGAAAAAAGACCTTTCTCAAACCAGCTTCACAGATAATAACTTAGACACATGATGTCAAGAAATATTATACTAGGCCAAAATGCAATAAAAATGTGGTTTAGAAAAAATTCTAGCATCTACTATTAAAATCTAGCCAGGCCAGTGGTAGACAGCATGCATTTGCCAAATTCAATCCAGTCACTGGAAAAGAAAAAAAAAGACTATAACCAATGTGATTAAGAGAACAAATGCTTATGACTTTTATATTAAAGAACTTCTGATAAGAGCTAGACATGATTCACTATTATAAGACCATGCATGTGTCCCCAGACCTTGTTTTTTATCCACCTAGGTCTGTCTGGTCTTAGAAATGATGGTGATTAAATTTTAAAAACAAAACAAAGCTAGATGCAAATTTTTGCTGCTTCTGAATTTAAGACTTACATAAGCTCTTAGGTCAATTTTTCATTCAAACAAAATTGTTATTACTTAGCCCCTGGCACTAGTTGGTCTCTGAGAATAATAATAAAGTTGAATAATGAGTTAGAATATCACTTTAAATTTAAAATTCTGTTTACTGACATGTAACATCTTACCACTACTTGAATATACTGTCCTAAGTTTTGACCTTATCAAAATTTTGCCAAAATATACGACAGTGGTGATACAACTAAAGAAATTTGTATGGGGGCTGGAGAGATAGTACAGCGGGTAGGGCACTTAACTTGCAAGTGGCCAACCTGGTTCAATCCCCAGCATCCATATATGTTCTCCTGAGCCCCCAAGGAGTGATTCCTGAGTTGCAAAACCAGGAAATAACTCCTGAACACTGCCAGGTATGTATCCCCTCCCCCCGCCAACAACCCCCACCCACCCAATAAAAGAAACTTTGGAATACTATAATATACTATTATTACTTTAGATAATTTTTTTTGCTGAAGAAAAAAAAACATGTAATCTTTATTGAATATTGGAATTTTATTTATTAGATTTTTTTCTCAAATTAACAGCTGAAATAAGAGAAATACAAATGTCTAGAAAAGGGGCCAGTTTTTTTATTTGCTTTTCTTTTTCTTTTTTTTTTTTTTAAATCTATATTACCACCTTCTAGTGCAAGGCACATTTTATAATCTTGCAGATTTGAATATCAAAAAGTGGTACTTAAAATGTTAAGGATAATAGTAAAATAACAAAGACACACAACATTCATCAATGTCCAGTTGGCAACCTATAAATGCACACCCAGAGCCCACAACAGAAATCACCCACATTCTTTTCCAAGTTCATTAATTCCAAAATTGGAAAAGCAGAGGAGAAAATGTTCCTATCCTTTAGTATTCTTCCTCCCATCCAAAAGCCAATTTTAGGACAGACTTGAGGCCATATAGCCATAAAATATATGCTGTACAGAGAAACCATGGGCCAATGCCTTAGGCTAGTGAGCTTTTATGAGTGCTTTGAGCAGACAGATTTTAAAAAGTCCAATAAATTCTCTCATTACTTTGACTTCTGTAATAGCCTCAGATGACTGCCTTAACAAAATACCAATTTCATCTCTCAGTTCTAGGGACTAAATGTCTAAAATCAAGGTGTTGGCAGGTCGAAGTTCTTTTCGCAGTGTGGAGAGGAAAATGCTTCCTTCTCATCTTGCTTTTGGTGGGGACTTGGGATCTTCCTTGAATTACAGATGCACCCCTGAAATCTCTACATTTCTGCCTCATGGACATCTGCTAGCATACTTCTGTATTTCACTGGTGTGCTCCTCCTCCTTTGTCTCTTAGAACACTAGCATGGTGAATTAGTGCCACCCAGAATAACTGATCTGATAAAAACATATTGCCTCTTCAATGACCTTTTTCCACACTGAGGTATTAAAAACTTCCATTATAAAAAAGAAGAAAAGAAAAGAAAGAAAGTCAGAAGAAGAGGGTAAAACTTCTGAAGATTTAACTAATCATTTTAAAAGTCACCCTCCTGCTTCCTGTTTATGTGCAGTAAGGATACTGTTGACTCTGACTTACATAAGTGGAAGGGGGAAAATGAGGAAGATAAGGCAAGTTCAAACGGTCCTTTCTCCACAGGGAGATGAGAGCATTCCTCTACGCAGACTGATACTTGTCACTTCAAAAATAATCTCCAAATTAGTGTTAATACTAGAGTTTTTCAAGAAGAAAAAGTGAACCTGGGGTATTTTCATCTGGGCAATGTTACTAAGGTATAAAATTAAAAAACCTGGTGAGTGAGATAGGGAACACATCTGGAAGTTTTAGCTACAACTCTCTCCCCATATTACACAGTGAAATTCCCTTACAATATACTCTTGGCCCAGCTCTAATAAAATACAACATAATAGAGTTTTGTTACCTTAGGGTATTATATACACCCTTCTATGCCTCTCTGACAGTTGGTTTTCTCAATTCAATAAAGGAGAAGAAAATTGCTCCAATTTAAGGAAAATTTATTAACTTGTTTCGTTCTCTAAGGTGCTATTTCTCAGTATGCTGAAGCACTAGCTTACAAAATACCATCATAGAAATAAAAAAGATCTGAGCAGGTAAAACCAGGAATATATATTCCTAAATTAGGGGACAGATTGTATGTCTGTTTCCCTCAACCTTCTTTATCCTAAGCCACATAAGATAATTTGTAAAAATAGAGAAATGGTAAGCATGTACTTTGTCCTTACAGCAACTTTCAGAGTTGTTATTACTTCTATTTTTCAGACGGTGAAACTGTTTTCTAGACAGGTGGAATAACCGTCACAAATCACACTCATTTCATTTAGTCAAATTAAAGACTAGTGATTCACATTCAAGACCAAGTAGCTTAAGATGTACTAAGTCACATAGGTCGTTATTAACCTCTTATGGGAACCACGGCTTTGTCTTCAGAAAGCCACACTTGAGCATAAAATTCATTCATTCTTATTAGAAGCCCACAGGGCCTAGACATGAGAAGGGTAGATGTTGCTACTACGTGTAATGAAGATGCAGCACTGCAGCACTGCCCTCCCGTTGTTCATCAATTTGCTTGAACGGGCACCAG